GATGATCAAGAGGGTCATTAGATCATAAAAACCCACATGGAGCTTTTACTGCCTGCTTTGCGCCAATTTTTTGATGTCTTGTTTGCTTCCCTGCTGAAAAGAAAATACCTTAAACCAGCCTAAATTGGTTTGGTGGTCTCCCGGACTGGTTAGAAAGCCCATTCGCTGGCTTTAAAGGAATTTTGGAATTCCATTTTCGCTTGTTTTTTTTAAATTTTGAGACCAACTCAAACCAGTCAGGACCAGAAAAACAGCTTAATTTGGTCTCGCAGTCTGGTCCTTTAGGCAGTTTTAGGGTGGTTTTTGGCACGTTTTAGCTGATCAGGCTGCTTCACAAAGATGAGAGGCCAAATTAAACCAGCTAAAACCATTTTAAACCAGCTCAGGCAGGTTCGAGCAGGTTTCAACTCTTTTTATCAATCAATGTCCATGACTGCTCCAGTTATCTCTGATTACAAGGATAATTTTTCCTACATAAACACTCAAAAAAACTTTTTTACCAGATAAATTACTTTAGAGCAAAACAAACTAAGAAATAAATAAATGAATTAATTACACTAACAAAAATTAGAAATGTTGCCTTGGAAACTAACTGAAAAGGTTTAGACTGAAGTACTAAAATTACTAAAACCGAAATAAAATAAACAAAAAACCAACATAGAAATATTAAAAAAGCAAAAGCAAAAACTAAAAATAAATAAATTCAAATGAAATCCGAAAATTTTAATAAATAAATAAAATCTAATTCCAAATATTAATAAAACTAGTACTATGAATGACTAATATGTCATTAACATTTGTTTTCATTAACTGAAATTTAGATTACATTTTTGAAAAATTATTAACAAACAAACAAAGAAATAGATGCTGCATTTATTTGGTCAAAAATACAGTAAAACCAGTAATATTGTGGAATATTATTAGAACTTCAAATAACCATTTTCTAATTTAATACATTTTAAAATATAATTTATTTCTGTGAAGCAAAGCTGAATTTTTAGCATCATTACTCCAGTCTTCACTTAATATTTTTGTGGAAACCGTGACATAATTCTTCAGGATTTTTGATGAATAGAAACTTCAAAAGAACAGCATATTTTTGAAATATAAATATATATAAATATATAATATATAAATGCCTCATTCATTCATTCATAAATGCCTTTACTGTTATTTTTGATCAATTTAAAGCATCACTGAAAAGTATATTCATTAAAAAAAAAATGAAATTTTACTGACCCCAAACTTTGGAACTGTAATGTACATAATGAATGATATATTCTATAATAATTTTACTAACTCCTAAGCTGAAAATCACAACTTCAAAATTCCCTGATATCCCCAGGTGTTTCCAGCTGTTGCTTAACCGTCTCAAAGCAAACTGGCTTTATTTGAAGGCACTCATGGCCATGTTAAGAGCAGGGCACTAGGTAGGAGGCACAACCTAATATTATGATTAACCCAAGAGAAAGCCTTCATTGTTCTGGCCACGATGACGTACTAAAAGACCCTCCATCACATCTACGTCTGCTCCGTTTGGCACGTGACGGGCATCGCTGGTAATTGCAAACACCTGTGCCGTGAGATAAAAGCGAACGCTTCATCGAAGAGTCTTGTAGGATCGAGTGCCCGCAAACAAAGCGGCCGATGATCAGATGAGCCTGGCTGTAGATCACGGGGCATCTATCAGCCTGGTGGGGCATCGTGCATAATAATGAGCTCTACCTGCTCATGAATATTAAAACGAGTCATATTTTTTAAAGGAGGCTTGAGAGCGTCAAGGGAAGCTGGAAAAATGAGATTCCTGAATGATTTTAATGAGGGTGTTTATATGAGTGAGCCAGAGGTCTGAAGAGGAGCAAATTGGCGGTAAATAGAAAAAATGGGAGAGTGTTTAAAATAAGGGAAATGGAGTGAAAGGGTGATTACGGGCTGGTGTGGGGCTTGCACCGGCAGACCAGGGTGATTTCTGTAAAGTGCAAACCTGGTACTTCATTTTCTTTGGCCTTTCGGCCTCATTATTGAAAAGACTCAGGCTCTGTTCCAAAACCTAGAGAGCTGCCTACGTAGACGGCAATTTAAGGAGTCACATGCACACTAATGACACGAATGCTGTTCCAAAACCTTCATTTAGAACAAATTCTAGATCACAGTCACATGCAGTAGTGCTGTTATTGTTAACTAAAACCAAAACCATTACAATTTGTTCACTGAAATTAAGCTAAATAAATAAATAATTAAATAGCTTTAGTTGAATGTTGACTTGAAAACTAAATAAAAATAATAATTAAATAATAATAAAAAAAATTAAGAATTAAATTGAAAATAAAAGCGAATTCAAAATAGTAATAAAACTAGTACATAAATATGCCGTTAAACAAATTAAGTTAAAATGGGGAAAAAAAATATTTAAAAAAAATTATTTTCAAAAATTAGAAATGTTGCCTTGAAAATTAACTGAAATAAAATAAGTTGAAGTACTAAAATTACTAAAACAACCTGAATTAAAAAAAAA